GTGATGGGTGAATTCAATTACCCAGACATCAATTGGGCTAATGGTACCTCAGGATCGACAAAGGCGGGCCGATTTCTGAACTTGTTGCGAGACAATTTCTTGGAACAGATGGTGGAGGTTCCAACTAGGAAAAATGCCATCAGGGATTTAATAATTACTAACAATGGGGAATTAATAAAGGATATTGTAATTGGGGAGACACTGGGTAGTAGTGATCACAATGTGATTACTTTCAATATTAAATACAGGAAAGGAAAGAGGGCGGGACGGACAAGAACCCTTAATTTCAGAAGGGCAAACTTCGATAAGTTGCGCAAAGTAGTAGGGGAAATAAAATAGTATAACTCATTTCACAACCTAAACTCAGACCAAATGTGGGACTGCTTCAGGAACACATTACATATACTCTTGCTCTATTTTATATATTTTTCATAATCTTTTCAAAATCTTAAAAAATAATAATAATATTAAACAGAAAGCTCATCCATGCTTCTGTGTGTTTATTGTACTCATTACTGTCTAATAAGAAAGCCCTAGCACCATCTGTGCACTTGTTGACTGCCCCTGCAGTTTGAAGATCTAGGCAACAAAAGTAGGGTGTGTCTCTTCTCAGTCATTCAGCTTACTCACTCAACCGTTTGTTTGTGTAACATGATCTTGCTATTTGCAATAAACAGCTGAAACAATGGAGCTTCAGATTTGAAGTCACAACCTGTTGGTTGCAAAGGCTGGCTTGCTACAGATATATGAAAACATTATACCGTATATACTCGAGTATAAGCCGAGATTTTCAGCCCATTTTTTTGGGTGAAAAGTGCCCCCCTCGGCTTATACTACCTTGTTTTTAGTCAGCAAAAGAACTGCAAAACACAGCGGGAGGGATTTATCAAAACTGGAGCAGACAGAATCTAGATCAGTTGCCCATAGTAACCAATCAGCTCCTCTTATTTCTATTGTTAAGCTTTTAAAAGTTAAGCTTTTTGTTATTGATTGCCCATGACCTGCTAGAAGATTCTAGCAGGTGTCGGCCAATAGGAAACAGTTGGGCGGAGCTAGCTGTCACTGCTAGCTGCACCCAATTGTTTTTTATTATAATTTTTTTCTTTTTTCAAAACATCTTTATTTATCTTTTTAAATTTAATATATATTTAATTTTTTTCACATTTTCGCCGGCATTCGGCTATTCACTCACTGACGTTTGGGGGCCTATGAGAATAGGGGCGAACAGCAGCGAGTGAGCTGCTGGAGCTTCGGCTCAGCCAAACATGCCGAGCATGTTCAGCTGACCGAAGTGCAGCCGATGTACGGCTGAAGTCAGCCATACTGAGCCGGTGTAAATAGCCGAACGTAGTTCGGCTCACTTCACTTTGGCTGGGTTATTCGCTCGGCTGCCTTCAACAGCTTTGTGAGTAACCCCCTAGGTGTACATTCCTTTATTATCAGGAATTTGCCAACTGTGCTTCCAGAACTGATGGTATAGAGCAGTGGTTCTCAACCTGTGTGTTTTTATTTTTTTAAGATCCAACCAGTCTCCCTACCTTACAAGAACTGGAGTGGATCCTCAGCCTGGGGTCCAGTGTGGGCTGCTGTGCTGTGACAGAGCTCCATCCATGTGTGTATTGCTTGTACAACCCCCTTGCGTGCCCTGAAGTGAAGCCAGGCGCCAGAACGTGACATCACTCCGGTCCAGGCACCTCTACAGGACATGCGAGGAAGCTGTAGACAAGGCAGATATGGACTGAGCTCCCTTGCAGCCAAAGCTCTACCCAACCCCACCTTAAGCTGACACTCAGCGCCGGGCAGCATATGAATGGCTGCTTGGCACGAGAACTAACAGTGCTGCGCTAGGGGGAGGCTGAGAAGCCTCTCACCTAGAAAAGTGGAAGACAGCGATGACCCACTGAACACGCGGTCACAACCAACTTTTGGGTCATGGCCCACCAGTTGAGAACCAAGGGTATAGAGCACAGATGCAGCCTAAACACAGTAATGTAAACCCACTTGTATACCATCAATGTTTACTGTACCTCATGCCAGACATGACAGGAGCCCTGCTGACATCCATCACCCTTTAATCATGTCCATGCACAAATGCTGCTTTTTATTTTCCTTGCACGTTACTGGGTACTCCTGATAATAAAGGAATATACACCTAGTTTTATTAATTCATATATAAGTGAAGATATCTAAATATCTTCAACTTTAAGAGGGCATATTGAGGGAATTCATCAAAACTGGAGCAGCCAGAAATAGGAGCAGATGCCTAAGTGAACCAATATCAACCGCTGCATTATATAGGAAATAGAAGAGAAGTCAATATACGTCAGGAAAATGCTATCAAATGCAAAGGATATTTGTTCTCTTTGCTTGATATTAACTTTCATATTATAGAATATGGTGACACATTCCACGCTGGGTAACATTTCACCTTTACCACGTCTCATATAAAAATTAGTAACCGCAATCAACTGTCACCTAATTTCAACTGTCATTTTTTTGTAACAAATTAAGCCAAATAACTGTCCTTTTACTGTAAATATTGCCCTTGTACTCTTTTTCAAAACATTTCTTACCTGTTAGTTTATCTTTTTCCTTAGGAATGTTTATATAGCACAGGTGTGTATTTTTATAATTTAAGCCACATATTTTTTTCCTTCTGGTTTTATATTTGCCCCCTTCTCCTCCCAGCATATTTTTTCTACTCTTAATGTTTGAATTAAATATATAATGAAAATATTAAAATAAATTGTCATACATCCAGTACAGGGTATTTATATTATGACTACATGGGTATTTAATATCACATTCATCTAAGCTGTAATTGTAGCTTGTGAGAATAAAAGTAGCTTTAGGTATACAGAGAATGGCAGGGATTGTAGACAGGCACCCTGCATAATAAATAGTCCCTAAAGCTTATACAGTAGTCAGACAGGCATGAGTCACGTTCATTATTCATTAAGGCAACTTCTAAAAATGTCATAATTCTCATATGAGCAGGAAGGGAAGTCTGGCTGTGCTGGCCTCTTCTATCACACGCTCTGTGCTACTGTGATGTTCGTGTCTGGCTATTTAGAACCTGCATTTAATGCGGCAGGAGGCACTGTTACTGGCAGAAAAATAATTTTCTCAGTACATATACATTTTTATTGAGCATTTACCAGCTTTCTGGCAGTAGACCTAATACTCTTAAATAACTGTTGTCCTATTAATACACCCTTTCTTTTTTTATTAACTTGTGAACAGGCTCACTCAGAGAACATAACAGCGCAACAAGCCATTTTTAAGCCATTATAAAAGATATACACTCTACTATTTTACCTTTCCTCTTCCCACTGCATTAGAGAGTGCACTGTGAATCATAGGAGTCCTGTGTACTTAACATTAACAAGCTCAGAGACGTCTTGATTTGTCTGTATTAGAAGTTAGTAAAGTTCTAAGCAATTTGAACATTCATTGTATACAGTATATATGTCTATCAGTAACTTTATTTTATTATTGAATAATGTTCTGCATTTAATTATGAGTCATACTATACACTTCCACGAATCTGCTTAGTTGTACACTCTACTTTTTATCCTTTCCTCCTCCCACCACATTAGGGAGAGCATTGTAAATCATAGGAGTGTGTACGCAACAGTAACAAGCTCAGAGACATCTTCAGTTGTCTGTATTAGAAGTAAGAAAAGTTCTAAGCAATATGATCATTGATGTTATATATACATATAAGAGTAACATTATTTTATTATTGAATAATATTCTATATGTAATAGTGAATCATATTATACAATTCTACGAATTTGGTTGTTTTACTGTTCCTAGAATTCCAAACCCTTACAAAGATATGCAATTATTAGTAATAACCCTATACACCTCAATGGGGAAGAACACATAGGAAAGTACGCTTTGAGAAGGTTGCACGCATCACACATGAGAAATAACTTGCACTATCAATTATTATTATTATTATACAGGATTTATATAGCGCCAACAGTTTGCGCAGCGCTTTACAATATAAGGAAGACATTACAATCACTCTAATGAACTCTTGGAGGCGAGCATGGGAGGAGTTGATGAGGGAGCTGGAAAGCAGGAGGTCTTGTGAAGAGCGGAGGGAACAGTTAGGTAGATACTTTGAGACAAGGTTTGAGATATAGCCCGGGGCAGAGTTGTGGATGGCTTTGTAAGTGGTTGTTAATATTTTGTAATAATAATTATGAGGGCTGTTAGTTAGAAACAGCATGTGCATTATATTCCAGATCAAGAAACATTATTATAATACAGAGTTTATGTAGTAGCAAGCGTTTGCACAACCCTTTACAAAAATAAAGGGAGACAGTACAGTTACAATACAATTCCATACATGAGAATTAGGAGGGCTCTGCTTGTGAAAGCTTACAATCTACACTTTATAATTGTACTGGCATGCCAAAAAACAAAGTAAAAAAAAACTCAAACAGAAAGGGAGAGATCCAATTTCACACAACATGCATATGCTGAATGATTTCAACAACAGAGATGAGCAAATTTCAAAAAAATGTGCTCTGCCATTAGTCTGCACAGTTTACTGCCTCTGCCATTCTATCTGCTGGGTTGAATCTGCTTTTTTATTTATTTTTTAATCATGCTTATAACATCCCATGAGAACTCGAATAAATAGTGATTTAGACATAATTCAGAGAAAAGCTTCCCTAATGTTAACCCAACAGGGGTTAAGAGAATCCAGCACAGGAATATAAAGAGAGACAAATTCATGTTTTTTTAACCCTTAGCTATAGGAAAGCAGTGATGGGTGCACACAACTATTGTTCCTTGTCTATGGAATATAATTCAGTTCTAAGGATGAGCATGTACCATGTAGCTTCATTTAGAATGCTTTAAACTATAAACAAGATGCACTTCTGCTCTGAAGTGCATATTAAAAAAGCCAATGTGAACAGTTTGGCTTCCTAAAGCCAACAAAAGTCATACACTACATAATAACAATTAATATTATAGGTTACCTGCAGACAGGCTGGAGCTCTCCCCTGGGGCTTATTCACATCAACTGCAACCAATTGCCAGCCTCCGGCTGCATCTTCATGGAACATCTTGTGAGAAAAACATAAGCTGGCATTAATGCATATGTATGAACTGTACACTGAAAATAAAATGTTTATATATTTAAAAAAAGAACTTTACTTTTAAAAATAATAATAGAATATATAATTGCTACCCAAACCATAAAGTGAAATAGTTTGATACATAAGTGTATTCATAACAGATTACATTGTATTGTTTGTATTCTGTGTACATTGCAACTTTTCACTTCTGAATTTCCTGCCGGCTGTGACCCCCGAAAACGAAACTAAAAGTCAGATGCCGGCATCTGACTTTTAGTTTCGTTTTTGGGCCGCGTACAGCAGAGGACGCCGCGGGCTCGCAGGGACAAGGTAAGTGACACTTTGTGCATTCCTGAGTCTGGCTCGGGGTTACCGCTCCCGGTATTGAAAATTAACCCCGAGCCAGACTCGGGAATACCGCCAGGGAGGTTAAAGGAGAACTATGAGGTGAGTGCTTTTCACTCACCTCATAGTTCTAGCCGACCTGTGACAATGAGACTGTCACAGGTCGGCTTAGTAGATCGGGAGGTGAGCGAACACATACCGGCGTTTGCTCACCTCTCGAACCAAAGAGCCGTGACAGGGGAGGGGCTGGATTCCCCCCTCCCCGCTCCGATCTGCCAGCGCTGACTGGCAGAATGGACGGGGGAGGGGGCGGGTACAGCTGGCTCTGCCTCTAGATAGGCAGAGCCAGCTGTCAGTGACAGCTATTCTGCAAAAAGGGATTTTTAAAATATAATCCTTGCAATGCACATAGATTACCCAGAGAAAATAGTTTTTTCTTAACAAAAAGTGGAGTTACTCTTTAAATAGATGGTACATTCTACAAAAGAACATTTTAGCAGTGATGTTATTTCTTTCATTACTTTTCTCCCATTCAGCTGTAACTGAGCACTTTGTAGCTTTATTTTCCCTGTGGAGACAGTTCCTGGCTATACCAGTGTCTAACCATGCAGCTTAAGCTATAAAAAGTGTGATACAGTTTTCTAAGCCCAAAATTGATGTGTAGTAAAATACCACTTCTTGAAACATACTCAGCTATTTGCCTTAGCTTAAATAGTTTTTCAACCCACACAATGTCTGAAATTAAATATAGTCAGCGCTATCAGCCTGATGTCTATTTTACCTGGCCTAAAAAATGTGACAATGTGTAAATAAACATGTAAAAGAGGATAATATATCTACTAATAATAAGAAAAAAATGTGCCCCAGTGTCTATACAGGGAAAAGACAATTTTTGCTGGTGATGCCTAAAGGCACAGGTCTACTGTATCTAAAGGTAAACCCACCCCTGACTTACAGAATTGTCCTGTAATGCCCTAAATACATTAGATATTAGTTAGATATAAACAATGAAAGCGAATCTAAAGCGCCAAACGTTGACCAACAAATGAAGGATAATTGCAGGCGAGGATTACTAGGGGTGCTGCCCCAATTTAGCCTGGGAAGCTGCAACACTATGGGAGAATGGGTGTCATCCAGGCTTGCCTACTATACGTTTACCTTGATTCACTTTTGTGAGTATGTTTTTATTGTTACTCCAATTTATATCATTAAAAACAATCTACACTAGGGTGGGCGCCCTTCTCTTTTGTTTTCTCCCATTAGTTAGATATATACTGGGGGGGGATTGTGATCTGTCAAATTAGTTCAATATTGAGCACTAGTTACCTCATCTCTACTACATGGTAACATCATAGGATAACAAAGATACTATTTGACAGGAAGAAACCCTTAACAGTAATTTTCTACTTATGTTTCATCCTACCAAGATTCATAGAAGTTTGTTTTGCTGGCATTAACATGGCTATAAGCTTTACAATAAATCAGATGTGTAAGGCTAAACTAAATTGACACATATGACCACGAGGGACCGTGTTTCAGATCATTTGACCTTAAGCAAATGTCTTGCTGAGCAAAATCTGACATGTTGCAAAAAGCATTTCACCCACTGTGTGCCTTGAAAAGATCTTTTCAATTTTCCTTCATAGCTACCCTCGAGCATGAGCTGGAACATAGAGCTGCCTCCCTGGCTGCTCTGTGTCCTGAGGCTTAGGTATTAGAATTCAACACAAGAAAACTCTTCCTAGACAAGGAGAAATGACATGATAGTTTATCTACAAAAGGTGACATTATTATTATGCCTTTCTCATGGTAACTGACCTAAAAGATTGTATGTCCTTCTGTCCTTTTGAAAAAGGAATGCCAGTCTTAATTTGTTTATGAAAAAACAAAACACAAGTGAATAAACTGATATTAGACATAGCTAAGCCTTTTCAGTACCCTAACCTACATCTTTCTCGTTGGGCCTGATGTATGACATCATCAGAGGAAAGATCTTAGACAAATCCTAACATTAATCTGATTCAATCTTTTCCACCTGTCATTCTGCAGTAATGATTGAAATTGAAACTGCAGGGACATATGGGAGCTGCCATTAATGAGGAAATCAGAGGGGCAATGGTCACCTTAATCTGACAATTGCTACCTTATCAACTGTCTGATCTCACACTCTGCCTTCCATTCCTAGGAGTGGAAGCAGATGACAGTCAGCCACTGTCAGATTTCAGGTTACCTCTGACCTCTAGACACTAAAGCTTATGTGTTGGCTAAATAAAATGGAGATACAGTATATATATAATCCCTAGTTAAGTCTACACAATTTTATAATAAAATGCTGACTTTCTAGATTCCTGCATAGGCCTAGTTGACACGTTATTTTTTATTTTGCCAGAGGCATATTATTCCCTCATTTTTATACTATTAATTAAAATAACTGTCAGAAAAAATTATATCTGTCAATAAGATACCTGCCAAAGCCTCACAGCTACTCCCTAGGCTGATCTGCCAAATTACAACAGTTTCTTGTAACAACAAAATGTGCCTGCTCCCTCAAGCCCCCCCACCCTATCTAGTGCTATTGGTCCATCATTATGATTGGCTGCCTCACTGAACAATAGGCCCCTACACAAAGCAGGATGGGATGGGCAAGCTTTGACAAAACTAGCAAGTATAGGAATCTTTGCAGATCAGAACAATCCATTATTTGGGCATAGGAGCAAGCAGTGCAGGCTGCCAATTTTTCTGTGCATTTAAGTACTGTAGTTAGTACAGCCCATTGCTACAGTACATACAATTGACCCAGACATTATAGAACTAAGAATTTTGTGTCTAAATGCTGAAATAAGTGGAATTGTCATGTGCAGTAACCAAATGTTAGTTATTTTTTTCAGTGTGGAGTAGAAAATAAAAAAAAGATTTGTGCTACTGCAACATCAGAAAAGCAGCACATACTAAAATCAGGATTATCTTTAATCCTTCACGGGTAGTACGGCATCAGAATATAAGGTAGTTAAGGTGTTTAGGGCAAAACTTTGATTCTTAATCCTAACTGCTATGATTAGAAACCTGGAAATTGGTCTCAAATGCATCCGGGAGTGGTGTTAATTCTTTGCGAATTTGGACATCTGGAGAGCATCTGTCATGCGCTGCTCCTTGTGAGTGTTACAGTGCTGGGGGCTGAATGGTTCATACGCCTTATATTCTATTTAACAATTAGCTGTAACTTAGACTTCATTCCACATAATACTTCTCACCAGCTGACAATATTTTGTTGTAAGTGTTTTTAAATAATCCACAGAATTATACAAATCTTTTCTATTATTTATTATATTATTAAAATCTATTTTAAACTCTTCTTATATATCTTTTTTCGCTAACTTTATACAATATTTGTTTTTAAAATTAACTTATAATACAGGACATAGGTTTCCTAGAGCGCTATGGGTTATCAAAAGAGACAGCGCAGCAGAGCAGCTGGTTTGCCGTTCCCTTTGTCTTATAGAAAACTATAAGACAAAGGAAAATTATCACTGCGGTGATAATTCCTTTCAGTATGAAGTTGGCTTCTTTCCTCACAGCTTAGTATCAGTGTGAAAAAATAGACTAGGCCTCTACCTGCTGGATGGATAGAAGACTACAGAATATAAATAGAGATTTCATTTTTACTTGACTAAAAAAAAGGAAAATTATTTTTAAACATTTTATTGTAAACATTTTTTTTTTTTTTTTTCTGACAATATTAAACTGAAAAAGAAAATATTCATAGATTTATACAACCAATTCTGACATTTGTAGATAGAAATGTGGACAAACTTGTTGGAACCCTTACAGGTTATTGAAACAATTACTTATTCCTCCTGAAAATATATTAAATTAAAAGCAATTGTTTTGTACTGTTGAAAATAAAAGCTGGCACACAGCGGTTTGTGCTGGCTTTTCTATGCCTTACTGCTTTGATCCCAGGAAAAGGGGCTTCAGCTGAGCATTGCTGTGGTTAGCGACAGGTGGTTTGTGAGGTGTATTTCCTCTCTGTGTACGCTAATTGTATCATATAGTCTTGGTGTCTTTGGTGTGTCATAGAGAAAAGCAAAAAAAAGTGTCAAAAGAGATAAATTATTACTTATTCTACAAAGATATTCTAAAATGTCTTGGACAGATTTGTTGCTACCTTTAGAAAAGATTTTAAATAATTGGATCACAGTAATATTTCAAAGTAACTGCTTCTTCTAATGTCTGCGAAAATAAGACTATATAGACTTGTATGTAAAAAATAAAGCCTATAAGGTAATAATGCTATATCTCCAAGAAGCTTGATGTTCCTCTGACTACAGTTGCAAATAGTATTAAAAAGTTTACGGTGTATGTGAGTGTAGCCTCACCTCCCTGGATGTGGCCGTAAGGTGAAAATTGACACCAGGCTAAACAGAAGAATAGTGCAAACGGTAAACAAAGAGCCAAGGAAAACTTCCTATTAGATACAAGCTAAACTCTACTGAATATAAAGGTGCATCAGTGTCAAAATGCACATAGACTCAAAGGAAGAAGCTCCAGGAGGACTCTACTGTTGAAAGAAAAAACATAAAAAAACTAGACTGGAATTTGCTAAAATGTATATTGACCAGTGACAATGCTTCTAGGAGAATGTCCTTTGGACAGATGAGATAACACTTGAGATTTTTGGCAAGTTACATCAGCTTTATATTCACAGATGAAAAAATTAAGGTTTCAAAGAAAAGAACACAGTACCTACTGTAAAACATGGTAAAACATGGAAGAGGCTCTGTTATGTTTTGGACCTGCATTGCTCTGTCAGGAGTGGGGTGCCTTGAATCTGTGCAGGCAACTATTAAATCTTCCGATTATCAAGGAATTCAGGCTTGAAACGTACTGCCTAGTGTCAGAAAACTCTGTGTCAGTCGCAGGTCATATGTCCCTCAACAGGATAATGACCCAAAACACACGGCTAAAAGCACTGAAGAATGGTTAAGAATAAAGTCATGATTTATTTCTAAATGGCATTCTGTGAACCCTGATGTGAATCCTATTATACATTTATTGAAAGAGCTGAAACATGCTGTCTAAAGAAGGCACCCTTCAAACTTTAGACAGCTGGAGCAGTTTGCTTAAGAAGAGTAGGCCAAAGTATATGTTGGCAGGTAGGTGCAGACGTCTCATTGAGAGCTACATAACATAAGTGGCTTGTTTGCAGTGATCTCCTCTGAAGGTTGTGCAACAAAATATTACGTTAAGGGTCCCATCTATTTTGTCCATGCCATTTTCACTTGTTTTATTATTTAACATAGTCTGTTGAATCAAAAGTCTAAATCAAAGTCTGATTTTTGTTAAATATAGAATAAACAAAGATGGATGTCAATTTCTTTTGTCAGTTTAAAGTTATAATAGAGAAAACTGTGGGTTTTTCTTTATCATGGAAAGGTGCAACAAATTTGTCCACGTCTGTATCTAAGCTTTTACTGCTACGGTCATCACCATAAGCCCTGATGGACTCCACAGTCACTCTATAATGAAGATATCCAGAAAAAGACTTCCAGGAATGACATAGCTATCAAACAATACATAAAACACTCATTTTTATTCATATATCATTTTAACATTTCCCTGTCAGGTAACACAATACGGGGAGGACATGTGTATATATAATTTCTATATTTATATGCCTGCATTTTTTAACTTTAATTACAGTGTATGTGTATTGTTATGGGGCATTCTTTGTACTACAAACATGGTCAATTTCTCAATGCATTCAGGGTTCTTCTAAGATAGAATGCCAATACATTTGGTGTTTTATATATTGTTTGATGCTTATGGCATTTATGGTAAGTCTTTTTCTTGATGTCTTTGAATAGTTTGTTTTCCTGCCAATACTGTGCCTTCTATAACAGAGGCACATACTGGAGATTTCCCCTGTAGCATCTCTTATGTCTACCCTTGTTGTTTTGCCCCTCCCAGTTTCTGCAGGAGCATCATTTCATTTCAGCAGGAAGGTATGGTCAGAAGGCTTTCTCTGAGAGAATGAAATTGTAAGTTCAAAACTGAATTCTTCTGCTTAATTTCGGTTACCGAAGATAAATAGTTATAGTTATTAACTAAACAGGTGACAACTGTTCGATCTGTACATAATTGCAATGCCTGTTTAATTGAAAGCATAATAAAGATTATTAGGTCACATCTGAATGAAAATAGGAACTACAAAAACAAAGGTTGCAAAGTAAAGTTAGTCCCTTGAATACAGATTAACTATATTTACCGTTGTGGTGGCAGTTGAAGTTGTGCTGCTTCGTGAACCCCACATCTGTTGAAACTGCACTCTAATTTCAGCAAAAGTCTCAATAATCACAGCAATGAAGACATTCTACAAAATATGAGTTGACATTGTTAAGGTGAGCTTTTATTTAATGCTAACAAAAATGATGAACACATTGCAAAAAAATCAATTAACAATCTATTGTACAATACCTTAACAAGCCAAGCAAGGAAGAAAATGAGGGTAATGAAATAGAAATATGAACGCCATCTGGGGAAACTGTCAATTGCTCTGTACATAAGGAAAACCCATCCCTCTTGAGATGCAGCTTCATATACAGTAAATATGCTGGTTCCTGTAAGAGAGAAGCAGGTCTTTAAAAAAATATGTAGATGTGGTATCCTAGGATACAATGTACTGATAGATAACCCTTTCACAGAAACTTCATCATGCAGTATGAGTCAGAACCAGGATAATGGTTTCAATGCACTGTTCCTACATATGAAGTGGAAGACAATACATTAAAAAAGTAAAGGCCAGAAGCAAATAGATATCTTGAAATATCTTGTAATACAAAGTATGAATTGAAGAAGAAAAAAAAAGTTGCTCGCTATGCAATGTAAAATACATACTTTTAATATTATTATATCCTTCCTTATATATAATTCCTAACAACTCAGTAAACATATATACTCAAATAAATGTATGCCAGCAATAATAATTTACCATTTGTTACTATTTTTAACATGCAATAAAATATACACCCCCTATTTACTGTCTGTATTTTGCCTTATGGTCTCCTGAAAAAATATTTTTTATTTCCTTATTTGTGTATTATTTTTCTTAAACCATAACAAGATACTTTTTGGTGACAGAAAATCAGGATATACTATTCTTACAACAAAGAAGGTTCAGATGCATTAAAGCGAAATAAAATTTAATGATATATTGAAAAATATGGGATGTATCACAATATAGGGGTCTATTCACGAAGCTGCCGAAGGATCTAGCCGTAGCTTCGGCCGAACCGTTCCTTCAGTAGAACCGAAGGGGAGCTGTACGTGGCCGAGCGGCTCAGTCGAGCCGAACGCATATACATCGGCTCGGCTGAGCTGCGCTGAAAGCCGAGGCTGGCCGACAGCCTGCTTCTGACAGCTGGGCGGAGCCAGCCGTGATCTTACGGCTGGCTCCGGCCACTTGCAGAGAGCTCAGCATCCCTGGTTACCTGCTAACCAGGGACACTGATCTCCAAACAGCTAACTCTCCCTGGCGCCCCGGGAGTCTCCTGCTTCCGGCCGCCAAGGAGAGAAACACTGCTGTGTCTTTTTTTCTTTATTCTGACACGGAGCGATGTCAGAATAGGAAAAAAAAAAAAATTCCCATTGAAATAAATTGCTACATTACTATTGGCTATTTTAACTTGCAATAGCCAATAGTAAACAAACTAGCATTGTACCCGCCCTCTGCTGCAGTTCTCCATCAGCAGAGGGCGGGTACAATACTAGTTTATTGTTGGCTATTGCAAATTGAAATAGCCAATAGTAATGTAGCAATGTATTTCAATGGGAATTGTTTTTTTTTTCTGACATCGCTCCGTGTCAGAATAAAGAAAAAAAAGAAACAGCAGTGTTTCTCTCCTTGGCGGCCGGGAAGCTTTATCCCATAATGTTCGGCGAACGCCAGAACATGCTATGTTCGAGTCGAACATAGGTTCGACTCGAACGTGCAGCCCATCCCTACTGCCTACGGCAGCTTAGTGAATAGACCCCATAGTTTAATTTTCATTTTTTTAAATCATGTATTTGATAATACCAGCCACCCTTCAGGGCTGGTGATCTGTCGACACTGAGAACTTATCGAGTTCTGCGACCGCCTGACTTCCGGTTTCATTACAACGAAGAAGTTTGCGCAAGAAACTTGTTCTGCACGAGCGCCAGCCAAGGCATTGCCCTATACACATACACCACAGCAATGAAGTAACAAAATGAACTAGGATCACAGTAATCCAGCATGTTATTAATCTAACGTGCCCCAATCAAGCGGTGGCCATATTGGTACAAACCATCCGGCGGCTGTACAGATCGCTTGTAAGTTAACAGCAATCGCCTGCTGTTAAAAGCGCTACCAAGAGCACGGCTGCTGAAGCAGCCTTGTTCTTGTTTTAACGACTTCTGCGGGCCGCCGTCTATTGACCTATTGCGGCCCTGAAGTGGTTAATACTCACCTGATCCCCGGAACCACCGACAAGTGCAGACTCCCATCTCTCACGCTGTCAGAATATGTGCTGTGTGCAGCTTCTGAGAAGATACGCTATTAGCATAGCGAGGAAGTCAGCTGCACATTTTGCATCGCTCCCGCTATGCTGATAGCGTATCTTCTCAGAAGCTGCACACAGCATGCCGGTTTAAGTA